GCGGTGGTTTGTGTTTTTTTCTAGAGACATATATATATATATATATATATATATATATATATATATAATATATAGTATATAGAATAGAAAAATAATGTGTATGCCAGTTTGGGTCTTGGCCGGAAAGTTTGTTTGGCCGACTCTCTTCCGGGAATAAATTCAACTGTGACGTTGCAAACTGTATTGAATAATGAACAATATCGATTTCTGGTCATATATCTTTCACTCTCTCTCTAGATTTCTTCTATTATTACTTTCTGTGCCCCTTTTCTCTCTCTCTGTCTGCATAATTATAATTACACATTTACATGCTTATTGGCATGTGTGCCTGAGGACACGCACACGCACTCAAGAGTGATTTCTACTCCAACAAATATATAATGTGAGAAATGAGAATCAAATTAACTAGCTGGCTCAAGGTTTTTGTGTCTGATAATGTTTATCTTGATCCCAAAGGGAAAAGTCATGGTGAGACAGATTGACCTAAAGCTGAAAATCCCTTTATTTGCTATTTTGTGTGTAGGTGTGAGGGAGGAGGGAATGATACCTTTGTTGTAAGTTGAGTTTTAGTTACATATGTGCTTGTGTGAAGAACTGGAATAATTTTGGATTTATATGAAGGAAATTATCACCTAGCTAGATAGTTGTTTCCTTGTGCTTAGATTGATACATATATTTGTACATGTTCTTTACTAACCATTGTTTCAGGCTGTTTTGTGATAAATTTAATATCTTTCTTTAACTCTTATTTTTTTAAGCATTTAAACAATATAAAGTATTAATTTTTTTAAATATTAAACTTGTTTTTTATTTATATTTTTTTCGTAACTAATCTATTCATACACTCCTTAGCAGGTTTCCCTTTATATTAGTCTCTCTTCTTTTCTGTGGGAAAATCAAACACATAAACAAAGTGCGTGTTATATTCAAAACCTAACGGTTTTATTTGCACTGAAAAAGAAACCTTCTTCTTCTCCCCACGTTTTGATTCTTTTAATTTTTACCTCATCGAGTCATCTTTATCCGCTTTTTGATTGTATGTCTTCTTTCTTAATGAATAAGAATAGAGGGACATCTCTCATGCTGGTAAGTGCGTATGGGAAATGCTTGCATTGCATGGACATGATGATCATGCCTAAATTTGTATGTATTTTCTATAGAGTTATGACACACTGACGCTATAGAAAATTCTATGAATATATTTAATTCATTGTTTAGTTAACTACTAGTTAATAATTTGCGTTTTTGATAATAAAAAACTGCGTATGTAGTATTAATTGGATATATGTAATATTATAATCATCACTACATAAAATTTTGTGAGCTATGTAATATATACAGAATCATGCATATATCTGTCCATTAGCTTAAAAAGATGCTGAGGGAGGCATATTATTCATCCAGGTACACACATAATAAATATATAACACATATTGGTCTCTCTTGAGACTTTTTCTTCTTTTTTTAGCTTTAATATATACATGATGCAATTGTCGTTTGTATTCTGTAATCTTTACTTGCTTGACATTATATATCACTGAAAATGTTATAGGTCTTATATATGTTCCAAATCAAACTTTCTTAAATGATTTAATAATATATGTTGATTAGATAATTGTTTAAAAAATATTTCAATTAATACTTTATTACAATTGAATTGTATACTGAGAATAATTTATAAAACAAAGATGTGAAAGTATTGAAGCTTATATAGGAGAGACAAAAGTATTTTGATACATGACCTCAACACATGTCAAAAGTGTTTCAGCAACTTCATTTGGAGCGATAAGAAATACTGGTAAGAAAAAAAAAAGTTAGGAACACATTTTCTAATTAATACACATTTTTTTAATTAATTTACATTTATTAAAACTTATAAAATTAAATAAAATATCGTTTCATCAATCGATAGGAAAAATATATATTAGTGTGTTAGTAATACTTCTCGTAAATGTACTTAAAACTATATATGAAAATTAAATAGCACTTTCCATTAAAACTTCATTCATTTATGTACCCAAAAAAATATTAAAGTTCATTTATGATTTTTTATTTTTCATCTTTTTTTGCACATACATTTTAATATAATAACATACTTGCTATGTCGTAAGTTTCATTGTAAGTGTCTTAGTATAAGTTTTTTTTTTTGAAGGATTGCTATAAGTTAAGATATAATAAATACATTCTTTTGTTTTTGTTACAATAGAATAAATAAATAATTACATTTTATATATTTAATACAATAAATACTATTTTCAATATAAAAAAATTCTTCAATTGTTCCTTAACACTTACCTTATTATATAGAATTAGTGTTTAGGTTTAATTATATTCTTTACCCCTTAACTATATGCAATTTTGGTCATTAACTATATTTTTGAATCAATTAACTTCTATTTTTTTTTACAGTAATTAAGTTCTATTTTTAAAAACCAAGTAAATTTGGTTTTGTTGATTTTCTTTTTGCCTAAACCTCTCAAATGTTTATTTTCTCATGCAAATATTTGGGATTTATGATTGTGGAATATGAAATAATTTTAAAAGTTCAGGCTTGAAAAATTTAATGGAAATATAGTAAAATTTAAATGACTTAATATAATATGAAATTAGGTTTTGAAGAACAAAGATATTGAGGTTTTTTAGTTTTGTTGAAATTTAATGATTTTATATAGTGAATTTCAAGCAAAATAAATTTTAAAACAATGTAATTGATTTAATTTATAAAAAAATATTAAGTAAAACATAGAATTTTGAGGATTTTATCTAGAAGAAAAAGATAAAGAAACCAAATTTGTCAAATTTTAAAACTATAGAACTTAATTAACTAAAAAAACTTCAAGAGTCCAAAATTACACCCGGTATAATTTAAAGGAACAAGAGCAGTTAAACCTAATATCATTACAAAATAAGGAAATATATCACCATGTTTTCTTCTAAAGATTTTGAAAATATATCCATCTTATTCATCACTGCGTAAAAGAATTAATGTTGTTCTATAGCCCACTATCCCTTCATTGCAATCTATAGTACTCTTCCTTCACCATGCACGACCAATACTAGTCTATCAAATAACACCAACTTCACCTTCCTCTATGTCTCAACTACACAAAAAATAATGTTCAACAATTAGAAAGCCCTAGATAGTCTTCAAAATTCCCTTGAATCAAAGTTAACCCATATTTATTTATTTATTTTACTATTTTATAACAAACAAACACTCTTTGATTTCATGTTTTCTTTTGATGTGAAAATCTCAATTATAATGTCGTTGGTTGAAAAGAGCTCAAAGATTGCAACGTTACAACCTGCAATCATTAAGAAGTATAAGAATTTTAAAACAGGTTTTGGCTTAACAAATAAGATATGCATGTTCTCTTTTGATGGCGTGTTTTTATTTTTTGTTAAGCCAAATGAATTTATTTATGATTTGTTCCCAACCTTGCACAAGATGTGCCAAAATTAGGAACAAGAAAACGAAGTTACAATAGGAGCAAACGTGAGCTTTAATTATGCAGTCACAAGCTCAACATATATTGTTATATATATGTAATCCTACGATTTTGCATCTATTGTCAGTGAGGTTGTGTGTGCAGACAATGAAGGGCAGTAGGTGAGAGCAAGTGTACTAAAATTAGTCAATGTAATAAAAATCAGATGAGAAGCAAGGAAAGAGAGAAGAGAATTGTGCTTTTCGTTATATTTTTTTCCCTTCAACGAAGTGTGGTATTTATAGGGAAAAAGAGTTGCTAGGAATCAAGCAATAAACACACAAAATAAAAACCTTTAAAGAGAAATAAAATATTTTAATGTGTAATTAAACATTGACCGTCAAAAAATAAATTATTTAATTAAAGACGTTTAAATTGTGAAAATTTGGTGTATTTCAAATGTAAAGAAGACAAATTGGTTGAATTACACTACAATAAACTTGTTTGATCCATGTTCATGTATATAAATCTCACCTCTCTATTACTAATCTTTTTATACATTTATATCTTAATTAACTTGATATAAATCATTCTTAAAAACATCACTAATGAATGTAACTCTTCATCTTTTTTAATACATATATATGTACAACAGTTAAATCTTTTATTCCACTAAAATAACAAGTCAGGTGATATAATCGGTCACTAATAACTAATTGAATAATAATACTTTATAATATTTAAGTATATGATAAATCAAATAATTAAAACGACATATATAACTAACATGAGACCTCTTCAAATAGGTTCACTAATTTACTGATCAAACTGATCATGTCAAGCCAAGTGAAACCTAGTTTTATATGTCATATTTTTTATCCCATAATATATGAGCACATACTTTGATCATTAATTGAACAAAAGGATATACAGTCAAATAAACATATTTTTTAATTGGGATTAATACTTACTGATTTTTTAACGTAAAACCTAAAATGATATATATATATATATATATATATATATATATATATATATATATATATATATATATATATATATATACATACACCAGTAGTATGTAAAGTATGGCCTTATTTAGGATCTTTGTCAATGTACTCTAAAAAATTATTGCAAAGGAAGAATATCATGAAGAAGTGGAACTGTGTCATAAACTCGATCGGGATGCTTTGCAGATCTTATAGACACTACAATACAATCACCATCCTGCAGATAAGTTAACATATATATTAATTGGCCACAAATGAAAGTATGAAACACCAAACCACAGTTGACAGATAAGTAATGATGAAGGGCAAAGTTCATTACATGCATACTCCATATGATGATTATACATTTTGAAACAAAGAAATGCTTACAATATACTTCATAAAACTCTTTTTCCGACACACTTAATATTTAGTTGGTAAAATTCATGTGGATGTAAATCTCATTTTGTTCAATCC